GTACTCACAGAACAGGTGACACCGGCGGGCGAAGTTTGCGGGAGTTACTAGCTTTCAGATTGCCCTGGAGTAACAATAAGGGGAACCGACCCGCCATGGCTAAGGAGTTTAAGACGCTGATTTAGCGATTTAAGGAAGAGGCTTGGCTTTCCTAAGGAGTCGAGTGTGGTGGCGCCTATAATAATCCCAGCGCTGGGAGGCTGAGGCAGGAGGATCACCTCTACCTAGTTCGAGACCATTCCCAAAAGAAAGAAGCCTTCAGCGAAATGGTGTCGACATAAACCAGCTGTGAGGTTTTAGCGGAGGCTGATGGTGCGCTTGGAGAACCCTAAGGATGGATGAAGTTCGATTCCGGTACCAAAAATACCGAAAAAATGATGGATGAAAGTGAGGGAGACAGGCCTTTGCGAGTGTGGGAAGACAAAAGATGTGTTGCTTGGTTCATTCAGACCTAAAAGGGGCAGAGTTCGGTGATTCCTGAGTTTTAAGTTTTTGTTTGAGCTCCCGTCTCTTTCAGACTGCCAGCTTGAGAGTCTGACTGCTGTTAGATACCGGGTGGTGTGTTTGTCAGAGTTTTCAGAGGAGTTACTCAAGTAAAGCTTTAAAAAGATCCAGAAAAGCAAAACACTTCATGGTTAAGCTGCCTTTGGTTCAGAGATGTTGAACAGGGCCGTGATTGCTTGGTCCTTTACTGCCTAAGTTCTTATCAGGGAGTGGAAGGTGCCTGAAGGTTAAGGCGGGGACACCAGCCTGGGTTTGGGTTTGTCTCGGACCGGGACCTCTCAGCAGCTTGGCTTTTGGCCTGGGCCACCTCACTGAAGCAGGTCCCACGGTGGGAAAGAGCCCTCCCTGGCGGAAATCGGAACAGGTTAAAATCAGTAATTTTAAGATAACTTGTTCATGCCGGGAGTTAACTCAGTGCTTCCACCCCTGCCTCGCAGGTGCAAGAACTGAGTTCGATCCCCGGTACAAAAAAAAAGATGTTCAGTATCATATTTAGTGAAGACCAGGGATGGGGGCTTTTGTTGTTACTACGGTGTTCTTGCTAATTTTTCTTATTCTTAGCTAAAAATACTCCCATAAGGTGATCATTCATAGCACTGTAAAGGGGAGCCAGAAGTCCCAGAATCACTCATCTAGTAGGAAACACTGGTTCTAGAGTACCAGGCTGTGATTAGATAAGAGCAACCGCAGTACCGTGTATTTGGCAAACAATTAGCTCTGGGAATTCTTTGGATTCCGCTCAGTGAACTGAATGGTCTAGACAGTTCCGCAGCGGTGCTTAATCAGGAAAAGCCCTGCGGAATTTAGCGGGGGAAGGTGTCTCAGCTGCGTGTTACTGCTGTAGTGCTGACCCAGCTCCGAAGTAAAGCTGACGAACCTCTGTGTCCCTAGGAGGCTTAGGCAGGAGGACTGCAAGTTGGCATCTCACAGGCAACTTAGTGAGACCCTGTCTCGCAAGGCAGCTCAGTGTGAAGGGCCTGGCTCAGTCCCCAGCATCACTTGGCCCCTCTGTGAGCTTAGTGCAGACAAACATTTTCTTTTTTTTTCATTTTGTGAGATGGCCTCATTGTGTAGTTCAGGCTGGTATTAAGCTCACTGCGACCCTTCTGCCTCAGCTCTCTAGTGATGGGGTCACACCTGTGCACAGCCACACCCAGCTTAGTGCAGACAAACTTGTGAAGATCACAAAATCTGTATTTTGTAGCTCTCATATTTGAATTGCTGGTTTTGAAATACGATATATCCCCTGGGGAATTTTAGTGTGGTGTTGGGGAAAACAGCGTTGGACCTGAGGCTCCCTTGTTCAAGGATTCCCAGAATCTAGGATTGGGAGGGATCTCAACGCCATCCGATCTGTCCCCAGGAGTAGTCGGCTGCCCTGCTTCCTGCCTGTGGGGACCCTGTGGAGAGTTCTCAGAACATCTGGGCTGCAGCTCCAAGGACGCGCTGGCCTGCATTCCGACTTCTGGTGGTCCACGTGAGTGCCAAGCCCACGCTGCAGGGTGGGTGCCCTCCCAGCTAAGGGCTGGAGTAAGATCCCCTCCCTCTGCAGCTCGCTGTGTGCCCAGGCGTGGAGAAACCATGAACAGCTCCCGCAGTGAGATGTTTGACTGCTACTTCCTCGATGAAGGCTTCACAGCCAAGGACATCTTGGACCAGAAGATCAACGAGGTCTCCTCCTCCGTAAGTGAGGCCCGTGCACACTGCATCTGGGACTGGGCTTTCTATGGCGGTGGTTGTCAGTGACAGTGGTAGGCCTGACAGGAGGAAAACCCCAAGGAGAGGACAAGAGGACAGTGCAGGCTGCAGAGCCCCCTGATGGTTACTGGCTCCCCTCTCGTTTCAGGATGACAAGGATGCCTTCTATGTCGCAGACCTGGGGGACATTATGAGGAAGCATCTGCGCTGGCTGAAAGCTCTCCCTCGAGTCACCCCTTTCTATGCAGTCAAGTGCAATGACAGCAGAGCCATCGTGAAAACCCTCGCCGCCATCGGAACAGGATTTGACTGCGCAAGCAAGGTGCGGAGGGCGGCCAAGTTTGGGGTGACCGCTCGTGTCCAGGCAGTGGGTGCCCGGCAGCCCCCCATGTGCTTCTTGCTGTACAGAGTGCCCCCTTTCTGTCCCCTCAGACAGAGATCCAGCTGGTGCAGAGTCTCGGGGTACCGCCAGAGAGGGTCATCTACGCCAACCCCTGCAAGCAGGTGTCACAGATCAAGTATGCGGCCAGCAGCGGGGTCCAGATGATGACCTTCGACAGCGAGGTTGAGCTGCTGAAAGTGGCCCGGGCGCATCCGAAGGCCAAGTGAGTGACTTTACTTACTCTTCTTCTGTGGGGAGTGTGGACTCTGGTCAGCCCAACAGGAATTCCCAGTTAACTAGAAGATTAAAACCCGAGCTCCTCAGAGGGTGGGGCCAGCACTTAGCAGAGGGTTGTCTTTGTTTTGACCTCGGTTCTGGGTGGTTTTCTGGCCTGAGGTGCACGACGTCTCTTCTCTCAGGCTCGTCTTACGGATCGCCACTGATGACTCCAAAGCTGTCTGTCGCCTCAGTGTGAAATTTGGTGCCACACTCAAAACCAGCAGACTCCTTTTGGAACGGGCGAAAGAGCTGAATATCAATGTCATCGGTGTCAGGTGAGGCCTGGGTGGCGCCGTGTCCACCTGAGACCAGGCAGTGCCAACGCCTCAGGCTTTTTCTAGTTTAATGTGAGACAACGGTAAGAGGCACTGTCTTCTCTGCCCTCAGCTTCCATGTGGGGAGCGGCTGCACTGACGCCGAGACCTTCGTGCAGGCCGTGTCGGACGCGCGCTGTGTCTTCGACATGGGGGTGAGTGGTGAGGGTGTCGTGGGCGAGTGTGCGTCTTCTGCCCTCTCTGCCAGTCCTCCCGGGTTACCACTTTGCTGTTGCTTGTGGCGCCCGTCTGACTGCTGCTCTCGTTCGACTCTAGGCTGAGATCGGGTTCAGCATGCATCTGCTGGACATCGGCGGGGGCTTTCCTGGGGCCGAGGATGTGAAGCTCAAATTTGAAGAGGTAATTTCCAACAGAAATTGAGATCAGTAGCTATTCCAGCATGTTCTCTCCTTAAAACTTTATTTTAATGTACCATAAGATGCCAGTAAAACATAAAATGAAAAATTGGGACCATAAAAATGGTTAATTTACTGTGTATCATGATCTTAAAAGAATGACCAGAAACTCACTTCACTTGGAATGCTAGTCCTGGATGAAAAGATTCTTAGAAGAAACAAAAGGAAGAAACTTTCTTTTCATGAACAAAAGAAACTAGTATAAATGAAACAAAGTAGCACTTACATCATTAAGATATTTTTGAAACAATAGAGTAGACACTTGGGGGAGCTACTTGATCTTCCCTGTTCCAGTTTATCTTGTGCTTTGCTGTTGGAAGAGTCCCAAGACCTCACTGTGGCACCAAGCACCGGTGACCAGAGTGGCTTCGGTGCCGTTGGGTCAGGCACTCAGCGCTGCTTGTTCCTATGCTGGAAGCCCTGGGCCAGAGCTCTGGAAGTCGGTTCTCCACCTGAGAACTGCTGTGGCTTACAGAGCGAGGCTGGCTGCCTTCGCCTGTACTCCCCGGTGTGCCTTGATAGACTTGAGACTTCCTGCCCATAGGAAGTTAGGCCATTGTGTAGGGTGCTTGAGTTGACTATCAGCTGGCACACATCTGTCATCCCAGCACTTGGGAGGCTGAAGCGGGAGGATTGCAGAAGGTTTGAGGTCAGCCTGGAGGGCATAGTGAGAAAAACCAATAAATGGGTTTGTTAAGATAATGTGGGCACAAGGCCCGGGTGTGGTGGTGCGCGCCTGTAATCCCAGCACTCGGGGAGGCTGAGGCGGGAGGATCACTGTGAGTTTGAGACCAGCCTGAGCTACATAGTGAGCTCCAGGTCAGTCTCAACTACATAGTGAGACCCTGTCTCAACCCCCCCGAAAAAAGTAAATACACAGGTGGCCAGCAGGAATTGAAGCGTGCGTGACTGGTTTCTGGGGAGGCATTTGTTTTCTCCTGCTGTCCCCTGATGACAGCTGCCCTGTCCCCTCTTCTGTCATTCGCCCTGGTGTTCCCCTCCGTGTGGGGCCCGTGCTGAATGGCTGCTCTCTGCTCCCCCTCATAGATCACCAGCGTGATCAACCCCGCTCTGGACAGATACTTCCCGCCGGACTCCGGGGTGCGCATCATTGCCGAGCCGGGCAGGTACTATGTGGCGTCGGCCTTCACCCTCGCGGTGAACATCATCGCCAAGAAGCTGGTGTGCAGGGAGCAGGCCGGCTCTGATGGTGAGTGGGACACGGTGGGGCACGGCCGGGGTGGGCCCAGGAGCGGTGCTGAGTGGGCTCTGCTCTCCAGACGAGGAGGAGGCCAGCGAGCAGACCTTCATGTACTACGTGAACGATGGGGTCTACGGCTCGTTCAACTGCATCCTATATGACCACGCGCACGTGAAGCCGCTGCTGCAGAAGGTGTGTCCGCCTTCCCCATTGCCAGGGAGCAGCCGGGGCCGGGAGCTCACGGTGAGCAGGGCAACAGCTGCTGCTTTCCATGCAGAGACCCAAGCCCGACGAGAAGTACTACTCGTCCAGCATCTGGGGGCCCACATGCGACGGCCTGGACCGCATCGTGGAGCGCTGCGACCTGCCAGAGGTGCACGTGGGCGACTGGATGCTCTTTGAGAACATGGGCGCCTACACCGTCGCCGCAGCCTCCACTTTCAATGGCTTCCAGAGGCCGACCGTCTACTACGTGATGTCCAGACCAGCGTGGTGAGCGCGCATGCAGACGAGGGTTCTGGTGGGAATGGGGACCTGGAACCCCAGCACTAGGAGGCCGAGGCAGGAGGGTCATAAGCTCAACTTGGTGAGATCCTGTCTCAAAGAAAAAAATGAGAAAAGCACTGGGGGTGTAGCTCAGTAGTTGAACACATGCCTGGCGTGTGCGAGCCCCTATCCAGTTGAGTCAGGAATTGCTCTGCCCAGGTTGAACAGGAAGGGGCAGAGTCCCTCCCGAAACACCCACCAAGGAGGGCGGGTGTCTGTGGCTGCAGCGCCTGACGCTCACGCCATCTGTGCTCCCGTTAACTGGAAGGCCCTGGGCACCGCTTCCTGAGGTGTCACACGGGGCTGAGTGCCGCTTTGTCCCCCAGGCAGCTCATGCAGCGGGTCCAGAACCACGGCTTCCTGCCCGGCGTGGAGGAGCAGGATGTCGGCGCCCTGCCCGTGCCTTGCGCCTGCGAGAGCGAGATGAAGCGGCACCCGGCAGCGTGCACCTCTGCCAGCATCAACGTGTAGACGCTGCCCGCCTGCTGCAGGTGTGGGCACAGGGTCGCCTGGCTGGGGCTGGAACTGTTAACTTAGCTATTGCTAGTTCCGGATGTCTTGGAAGAGTAGGGTCAGCACGGGCACAGCCACAGTCAGTCACAGACTACAAGGGTCACGCGTATCTGTGTTCCTATGGAAACTATTTGAGTATTTGTTTTTATATGGATTTTTATTCGCTTCCACACAAGCCACTAAAGAAGACCCGCAACTGCCAGGCAAGCGTTTGTAGCTTGTGCAGCGGCAGTGTGGGCTGAAAGTTGAGTGTTGTGACCTGTTTTGGAAATAAAGCATCTTGAGAGTTTTAGAATTGGGAGATTTTGCAGGCGGCCCGCCCGGCCCTGCGGCATCTGCTGGGAGCCTTGCTGGCCCGGCCTGTGTACCTGGGGGATGCAGAGTGGACCCCAGCAGCGCCCAGGAGGAGGATGGCGGCTGTGGGGGGACCCTCTGAGCACCTAGTCTGCAGTGCTGTGGCTGCGCCTGTCCCGCAAGAGTCACATGGGCGTCCTTGGCCGCACGCTGTCTGGGTTCAAGGTGTGTAGCCGTCCCCTGACTGTAATAAACTCGGTGTCAGCAGTGCCTTGTCTGAATCCGCATCTTCCCTCCCTGGCCACTTGGGTGACAAGGATGCGCTGCCCCAGTCAGCAGGGGTGTCACGGGGACCCTGCCAGCCCCTGGGAGTGCCATCGGTCACTCTGGTGAGGTGGTCCTGCCTGTTGGCAGCCGTGCTCCTCCCACACACCCTCCGATGGGTGCTTCAGCGCCCGGTTCCAGGCAGGGGCAGCCGCCTGCAACCACACTGCCCGTCTTGGCCAGGGGCTATGGAGGGAATTGGTGGGAGCCTGTGCCCCCTACGCCAAAACCAGGCCTGAGGTCCTAGTAAGTGGGCTCATGGGACTCTGCTCACCTGGAGGGGGAGGGTCCTCACCGAGTTTGGAGACTAAGGAGCATGGACCAGCCGGGGGCAGGCCATGGGGACCCTGCCTCCCTCCCCGCAGCTTCTGTCACCATGGCAGTGGGTACAAGAGGGGACAGCTGGGGTCACATGCACTAACAGGACAGCCTCACTACATCGTTCTCAGAAGGCGGTGATCCCCAGCCTCTGCCGACCCAGCACACCAGCCCAGCTTCAGCTTCCGGCTGGGCTGGTCTCCCCGGAAGGAGCTGGCTGCGACAGCCTGTGATAGTGCAGCCCCTCCAGCTCCAGCCTGCCCCTCGGGACTGCAGCACCAGCTCTGGTTTCACAACTAAGGTGCTAGGATTTAGCAAATAAAAATACATTGAACAGGACATAAGTAGGATGAAAAATTGCTTATGGTTTCTCTGAAATTGTTAGGTATCTCTGGGCCCGCAGGCCAGTGGCTCTGAGGCTTCTGGTAGGCCTGAGGGACTTTCCTGGCCGTGGCCACCAGGGGGCAGCAGTGCCTCGTGTTTAAGGTGCAGGCCGGCCGTTCACAGCCACCCCAGTCCTAGGGCAGGCGTCTCAGACTGTCCCAGGGCCACACGGGTGCAGCTCCAGCCACCAACAAGGCAGGGGTGTGTGGGGACAGCTGGTCCCTAAGGAGCAGGAGGGCTAAGCAGGCGGATAGAACTGCAGGGCCCTGAGTCTCAGAGTGGGGAGGCCCAGGGACCTCTTCCAGACGCAGAGCCTGCAGAGGCCGGGTGGCTGGAGGCGTTGTGCTTCCTGCCTGGTTCTCCCCTGGCGCTGGGTTCCTCGGCCCACGGCAACTCTTCAGGGCCTCAGGACCCCTGAGCTAGCCTAGTGCTGCCTTGTACTCCCGCTAGGGCAGCATGCAGGGCCCCCAGGTCCACGTTTCCCATGTTTGGACAGGAGCAGCTGTGAAGGGTTTTACCCGCCAACTTGACTGGATCCCGGGGTGGCGGGCGTGTGGCCAGGCTTGATTCTGGGTGCTGCTGGTGAGACCAGTCTGCAGTCGGCAGACAGTGCACTGTCCTCCCTGTGGTTGGCCTCGTCCAAGCCACTGGAGGCCCGAGCAGACAAAAGGCTGAACGAGAGAATTCGCCCTTTGCCGCATGGGCCTGGGTGAGGACGCTGGCCTCCTGCTTCAGTTGTGACTGGAACTGACCGCCGGCTCTCCTGGTCCCCGCCTGCCACCTGCAGTCCTGGGGCCTCTGGGCTGCTGTCATTCACTACGGCGGGATCCTCAGCAGCCCGCTGCCTGTTACCTGTCCGTAGGTCAGGTGTCCATCCACCCTTCCTCCACCATCCGCCTGCCCCTCTGCCCCTGGAGAGCCCGGGTGCACCCACGTCCGCTTGCATGACGGGCTGTTCCCCACGCACCCCCAGTCTGGCCTTTGCTGGGCCCAGTTAGTTTCCACCGGGCTGCACTTGAGCCCTCCAGCCCTCGAAGCATGGCCAACGGCACCGTCCTGCCTCTAGCAAGCCGAGTACACCCCAAGGTCACCGGGCCTCGCCCTGCACCCACCTGGCTTTGCCTTAGGCTTGGCAACTGTGGGCGTGGTGGGGCAGTGGACTCGGCTCAGTCTCAGGAGGCGGGAAAGGACCTGCCATCAGCTGCACAGCTGCATCAGCCCCAGAGGACGGCCTTGAGCCAGGGGACAGTTTGACAGGTGCCACGGGGCCCCTCTTTGGCAAAAACTTCACTTCCGGTCTCTCTGGGTCCCCCTGCCTGGCCAGTGCCAGTCATGGCCATCGTGTCCCTACCAGGGCCAGGCTGGGTGTGTACAGGGACCGTGGCTTGGGCCATGAGTTGTGAGGCTGGCAGGGGTGTGAACTAGGATGGGCAGAGCCCGCGAGAAAAGCTGCCTCATGAGGCCGGTGGTGGGAGAGGGCACAGGACCTAAGTGATGAGTCAGCCCAGCCCACGTGTGGCTGCTGGGCACGGGGACAGCGGTGGGGATGGTGGCAGAAGAGGCAGGATGTGCGCCCTTCCTGTCCTCCTGGAACGGGACCTCCACACCAAGCAGCGTTCGGTCAGCGAGGCGGCACGAAGGACACTCACAGGACTCACTTATTTAATCATTTAATACCAGAAATGCCAGACCAATCAACAGGACGGACGATCACACACACGCCTGCACTTGCAGCAGGGACGGCGCGTTGTCCAGGGCCCCGGGCGAGCATGCATTTCTCCAGCACGGGGCCGGTGAAAGACAGAAATCCACGGGACAGCCACAGGCCACGGGACCATGCTGCATGGGTGGCGGGAGGGTTTACACAGGGGACCTACGTCACACCTCACGTCAGCAGACACATAATTTATATATGAAGAGAAAGGCCACAGGGCGACACGTGCAAGGGGCTCTGGTCACACTGGAGGGGCGTGGGCCATGCATGGGAGGGGCCCGGCTGTCCGTGCTCCTCCGTCTTCGCCTTCCTCCCCACCCAGCCCTCAAAGTCCCCGAGCTGGTGCAGGGGCGCCCAACACCGGCCTCGCGCTCCTGGAAAGCCCTGTCCGGCCCAGCAAGCCGTGCCCTGCGGAGGGTTCCATCCCCGGGAGTCACTGTGGAGGGGCCAGGCCGGGAGGGAGGGAGGGGACATCACGCTGGTCAGGCAGAGGAGGGAGGTGCAGCCCGCCGGCCGGGGTGCTGTGTCGCGGCGGGAGGGCGGTGGAGGCGTCCGCTTTTGCAAGCAAAGCTGAGAAGGGCGCTGCCCACCCCGGCCTCAGAACTGGCTGGCGCTGCTGGGGTCGCACTGCAGCAGCCGCACGATGGAGGGGTCGCTCTTGGCACCTTTGATGAATTCTTCCAGGGACAGTTTGCCTGGCGGGCAGAGACCGGAGAGGAGGGTGAGGCGGCATCAACATGGGGGTCAGCAGCACACTTTGGTCTTTGTGTTTCCAGAGGGGCTGGGATAGCCGCACACCTGTCTTTCCCACACCTGGGAGGCTGAGGCAGGAGGACTGCCCGAGCTTGGCCTGGGCTAATCGGTAATACCCTGTCTCCAAAAGCAAAACAAAACAAAACAAAAGACGGGACCACGCAGAAGTTGGGGTTGAAGCCTTGAACTTTTGTAATTTCCACTCACTCTCAGATTATTAGTGAAAAACAGAATGAAACGTAAGCAACCCCTTCGGCTTTCTCAGCTCTCTTACAAGCGACCGGCAGCTCCAAGTTCATTCTTAGGAGCAGTGGGAAATACGTGGGAAAATCACCCACACTTTACCTAGTAAGGAATCTATGAAGGTGGCACTCGCCTGCAACCCCAGTGGGGAGGGAGGCTGAGGCAGGAAGATCGCATACGTTCAACCTGGGCAACTTAGCGATTCAGTGAGATCCTGTCTTGAAATAAGAAATACAAAAGGTTGGGGATGGAGCTCAGTGGTACAGCACCCCTGGGTTCCTTCCGCAATACCAAAAACAAAACAGAGAGGGACAGAGAGGAGGATTTGGCCCCTGACCCATGGCCAGCTCGGGCCTTGCTGGCTGCGCTCTCCCTTGAGCACCCGCTTTCTCTCTAATGCTGGGAAATGCAGCTGCCTGGCCATGCCAAGGGGCCCCTCACCAGGGACCCCGACTCAGGGCAGACAGCCACAGCTGGGTGGCAAATCTAATGACACCAGTGACAAGGTTCTTGAAATTGTGCTTGCCTCGTCCCTTCCCTCCTTCCTGATAAGGTCTCACTGTGTAGCACAGGTGGGGCTTCAAAGTAGGATCCTCCTGCCTCAGCCTTCCAGAGTGCTGGCGTTACAGATGTGCACTTCCGGCTATGAGACCAGTCTCTCCCGTGTGCTTTGAAAACAACTCCCTTGCTGTCTGGGAGGCTCTAGGCTGTACACAGTTACGCAGGAGCCCTGGTCCCTCTGCTGGGCTCTGTCCTTAACTCACCTTAACCTGGCACACTTCAGACTCCATGAGCACTTTCTTGTGCATTAATTTATTTTTAATCTCATCATAGCCCGGGGAGCATTTTCTTTTCCTTCCACTTTTGTTTGCATTTTTGAGAGAGGTTCTTGTTATGTAGCCCAGGTTGGTTTCAAACTTGTGATCCTCCTGCCTCAGCCTCCGGAATGCTGGAATTACAGGCGTGCAACGCCATGCCCAGCTATGGGACCAGAGCTTCTGCACAGTGGCTCTAGGTAAATGAGGCCACTGTGTGCATCCTGGCAGTGGCCCCCCTGAGTCCGGGCATGAGAGGAGACTCCCGTCTCAGGGTGGTGGCGAGTGGTTCTGGCAGCTTCTTGGGACCCAAGAATCAAACACACCCCAGGGGTTACAGACAGAAGGCGACAGGAAGAAACTTCCACCGTGCCCCTCCCCTGCATGCTGAGCAGGCCCAGCCCAGCTGTCCTACCGTCATTGTTCGTGTCCATCTGTCTGAAGATCTTGTCCGTCCGCTTCTCTGGGGTGGACTCGTCCTCTGGCATCTTCATCACAGATGACACCATTTTGTAAATGGCCTGCAAGAGGCGTGGGCTCAGGGATGCAGGGACAGGGGGCAGCCAAGCTCGGGCTTCCTGACGGCACAGGAAACGGCTGAGGACGCTGAGCACTGGCTTCCCGTCACCGCCGTGCTGCACAGCGCAGCCTGACAAGCATGACCACAGCTTCAGCCCACGGGGGTCACACGGGCCACCTTACCCCTTCCAGGGCCACACAGGGTCCACGGGGTCCTGGAGCTGAGCCCCACAGACACCAGCAGAAGAGGAAATGCTGGGAAATCAGTCTGCTGAGTCCAGGGCCTGAGGAACGCAGCAGTGACTCCCTTCACAGGGTGCAAAGACCAAGCTGACTGATACTACCTGTCACCTAGGCTCGGCTGGCCTTGAACTTGTGGCGATCCTCCTGCCACAGGCTCCTGAGTGCTGGATAACAGGTATGTGCTACCATGGCTGGCTTTTTTCTTTTTTCTTAGTGGTCCTGGGGATGGAGCCCAGGGACTTCTCACTGAGCTCCATCCCCAGCCCTTTTTATTTTTTGAGACAGGGCTTTGCTAAGTCACTAAGTTGCCCAGACTGGGCTTGAACTTGAGATTCTCCTGCCTCAGCCTCCCAGAGTGCCAGGATGACAGGTGCGCAGCACCACGCCTGGCTGAACGACAGCTTTTAGCAAGGCCCTGCCCGGCCAGGTGACACCGATCCCTCTCAAAGGGGCAGCCGGGGTAGCCCGGCCCCGGAGACCCAGGCTGGGCGGGGCGCGGCCATCTACCTGCACGATCTCCAGCATCTCGCTGCGGCTGATGTAGCCGTTGCCGTCCAGGTCGTACATGCTGAAGGCCCACTTCAGCTTCTGCTCCAGCTTCCCCCGCGAAGTCACGCTCAGCGCGATGATGAACTCCCGGAAGTCGATGGTGCCGTCGCTGTTGGTGTCGAAGGTGCGGAAGACGTGCTCGGCGAACTTGGAGGCGTCGCCATAGGGGAAGAAGTTGGCGTAGATCTTCTTGAACTCGTCCACGGTCAGGTGGCCGGTGGGGCAGTCCTTGAGGAAGCCCTTGTACCACTCCTGCAGCTCGTGGTCGGTGAACTCGGTGTTTTCGCGCAGGTCCTGCAGCACCTCGGGCCGCAGCTTGCTGTTCTGCTTGCCCATGGTGGCCGGCGACTGTACCTGCAAGACAGGGTCAGCTGAGGACACCGAGGGCCCAGCCGGCCGAGCCACGTCCCGGGGTCCTGAGGCACAGAAGCCCGCCATCGTTTCTGAGGCAGGGTCTCGCTCCACAGCCAGGCTGGCCTTCCACGCCGATCCTTCTCCTCGGCTGCCCAAGTGCGGGATTACAGAGGATCAACCCGCCCAAGCCCGCCCCCGCGGACTCTCTGTTCTGCCCTGGGACTTGGGGTGGCACCAGCGTACTCTGGAAGGCTTGAAAATGTCATCTTTTTCTTTTCTTCCTGGCGGCACTGGGAATTGAATCCAGGGCCTTTGTAATGAGCAACGTCCCCAGCGACTTCTGTTTTTCCTTTTGAGACTGAGTTTTGCTAAATTGCCTGGGTTGGGCTTGAACGACTGACCTTTCTGCCTCGGCCTTCTGGAGTGCTAGGATTATAGACCTGTGTCACAGAAACCCGATTAATTAAAAAGATAAACGAATAATTGAAGGCACACCGGGTCATGATGGCTGAGGCCGGGGTGTGTGACAGTTAAACCGCTTGACTGGCCTGGGATCCGCTAAGCCACTCTGGATTGGTGGGACTCGTGTAGCTACTTCTGCGTGTCTGGGTGGTCATGGAGGGTGACCTTGGGTCTGTGTCTGGTCCCTGGCCCTTCCTCGGGCCCTTCCGCCATGATGTCCCAACAACCATGGACTGAACCCCCTGAAACTGTGAGCCAGCTCCACCCTCCCCTCGTTTATGGTACGGTGCTGGGTATTGGGTCCCAGCCATGGGAAAGCTGACTGAGACAGTAGCTCGCCGGGCATGGCTGGTCCAGAAAGCCTTAGCTGATGGAGCAGGACAGTGTGTCCCTGGGACTCTGTCCGAGGCACAGGCTGGGGCTGCTGCCCAAGTAAATATGCAAGGAAGCTGGGTTCGATGACACACATCTGCCATCCTACCATTCTGGGAGCCTGAGGCAGGAGGGTCACAAGTTGGAGCCCAGCCTAGGTCATTTAGCAATTTAGCAAGACCCTGTCTCAAAATTAAAAAAAAAAAAAGGCCGGAGTTGTAGCTCAGTTCAATTCCCAGTACTGCATTAAAAATAAATAAAGGAGCAACTTACAGCTGCTGGCCTCAAACTCCCACTCACCCGGACAAAAGCCAGGGTGGAATATTTCATACAGCGAGGTCACATCAGCTCTCCTGGAAGTGCACAGGCCCCTCACAGGCAGTGAGGCCTAGGGAGCCGGAAGAGAGCTGTGCGCTGCGGTGATCCCGGGTTATTCATTTAGTGAGTGGCGCAGCTGCCTGGGAAGGCAGTGACAGACAGCAGCCTCTGTGCAGAGCAAGTGCAGGTTCCCAGCAGCCCAGCCTCGCAGAGCTGAGCCGCTGTCATCTCCAGGGAGGCAGGGCAGAGGGCATCGTCACTGCAGAAATGGGGGGCCCTCAGTCCATTCTCTGGCCTCCCTCGGAGACCCCGTCATTGATAGGCACTAAATCCTAAAGGAGAGAAGCAGAGGTGGAGGGAGGTGGGAGCCCTGGGTGATCCAAGCCAGTCCTGCCATCCTGCCGTCAACTGAGAGCCTCTCTGCTGGCACAGTGGCTCCGCAGGGCCCCTTAACCAAGGCTCAGCACTGCAGGCTCAGCCACTCTGGCTCTCGAGAAACACTCCCATGAAGCTGGGCGTGGTGGTGAAACCTGCCATCCCAGCCAGAGGCTGAGGCAGGAGGACCCTTTGAAGGGCCAGGGCTCTGGCAGAGATTGGAGCAGCCTACCCATCCTCAGATTCTCCCAGTGATCCATAGACATACCCTCTTCTCAGAGATCCTCCTGCCTCAGCCTCCAGAAAGCTGGAATGACAGGCGAGTGCCACCGCACCCAGCTGCTTACAGTTTTCAAAACAACTCAGGTGCCCTTCTTTCCTCCTGATAAGCAGGCGAGAGTCAAGGCTCCAGCAGCCTCGATTCTGGTGCAGTCCTCAGAGAAGCGCGTCCCAAGGAATGGGTGTTGCAGGCAGATTTGCCTGGAGTCCGGCGGGCTGCGGTGCACCCCAGAGGACACTAGAGGGCGCCGGCGGACAGGCTCCGGGGCCTGAGCTGAGGCCCTGCCCCTGGCCACACCTCCATCCGCTTTCTGCTGCCCGGGTGCCTCAGTTTCTCCATCCATAAACTAGGACTGCTGGGCACCGCATTCCTTCTACGTCACGCGGCTGTCAGCCATTTAAAATGTGTCCAGTCTTAACCCATACATGGGCCCTCTATATACTGGATTTTGATGCCTATTTTTGGTTTTGGCTTTTGAGACAGGGTCTGGCTATGTAGACCAGGCTGTCTCAAACTCACAGCGATCTTCCTGCCTCGGCCTCCCGAGTGCTGGGATCACAGGCATGCAGCACCAAGCCTGGGTGTCTCTTCTGTCTCTAGTGGTGGTCACAGAGGTAGTATTCAGCGTGTGATACCAGGGGATGGGGTTTGGAGCCACTAAACTGGCTCCTCGGGTCCTGAGCAGGCTGTGTTCTTTGTGCTGCATTTCAGTCACCTGGAGGCGCAGGATCTGTTTTGGGGGCAGGTCGAGCTCCAAGCTCAGCTGGGGTCCAGGGGTGGGGAGGCCCCACTTCAGGGAAGGCGTGCTGCCTCTGCTTCCTTTTTCTGAGCTACAGAAGCCACACTTTTGCCCTCTGTGGAAAGAGGTCACACAGTGACCTGGTGGCCCGGATGTGAATCTGACCACTGACTGAGCACAGCACTGATGACATTGGCTGGAGAACAGAGGCTGGGCCCACTGCATGAGCACAGCGGGGGACCTCCCAGCAGAGAGGCCCGGAGGTGGCAGGCACTTGCCTGCCCCCGCTGTCCGCATCAGCAGCCATGCCCCATGGAGACGGCATCAGCTCCTCAGAGACACAGGCAAAATTGGAAACCTGAGTCTAAAACCTCAGAAGCACCCAGGGACTTGGAGGAAAACCCTTTGGCAGAAAATGGAAGAGGCCCCAGCAGAGCCGGACTCGGGTGGCTGAGGCAAGAGGATCTCACATTTGATTCCAGCTGGGCAACTTAGCAAGGCGCTGCCTCAAAATTTAAAATAAATAAATAAATAAATAGGGCTGGGATGCAGCTCAGAGTGAAGGCCTTGGGTGGTTTCTAGTGCTGAAAAAGAGGCAAAAAGAAAGCTGGGTGTGGTGGCGCATGCCTGAGGCAGGAGGATCAGTGTGAGTTCAAGACCAGTCTGGGCTACACAGTGAGTTCCAGGTCAGTTTCAACTACACAGTGAGACCCTGTCTCAAAAAACCAAAAAAAAAAAAAGAAGCAAAAAGAGGTCACAGCAAGTGGCAGGCTGAGACCTGAGCCACCTCCATGGACTCATGGCCGGAGTGGCCCCTTCACCCCACCCACACCTGGGCGGAGGCCAACAGCAGCTGCAGAGCTCTCGGCTCACCCGGCTCTCCTGGGCACAGGGCTCCCTACCCCGGCTGAGCAGGGCCAAGTCAGGCAGTGTTGCTCTTGACCGAGGCCCCAGTCAACGTGGCTGGGGCCCCCCACTTCGCCTGGGCTGGAACCCAGGGCCTTCACACTGAGCTGCATCTCCAGCCTCTTTTAGTTTTTAATTGTGAGACAGGGTCTTGCTGAGTTGCCCAGGCTGGACTTGAACGTGAACACCTCCTGCCTCAGCTTCCCAGAGTGCTGGGGTGACGTGTGCACCACAGTGGGCTGAACCCCGTGTCCCTGGCTGTCTCTGAACTGCTCTGGGGTTCGGTTCCCTGACTGTAAAACGGGAATTGTGGGCCGTGGTGAGGATGAAGGGAAAGGAAGGCCACGAAGACTCCGGCACACAGAAAGCATCACAGACACGAGTGGGTTCTGGCACAAGTTCTGTGATAAGGACGCGACGGGCGGCTCTGTGATCTTCATCCCAGCCGGAGCGGGGCTGGTGACCGGGATGGAGCTGGCTGGGCAAGGCCAGTCAGAGCCTAACTGCAAGTCCAGGAAAGAGGAGGAGGGAAGAGACACGGCCAGCAGCACCCGGACAGGCGGCCTCGGGACTCTGGAGGGAGGGCGAGGCCTCTCGGTGGCGGGGCTGAGAGGGACCAGGAGGACGGCAAGTGCTCCAGACGCTGAGGGACACAGCAGGGACAGGGCCGGGGCAACCCCAGCACGAGGGGTGTGGGGACACAGCCCGGACGAGTGCTCACGAGGGCCCTGCTCCGCACACTACAGACCCACAGCACGTCACGCGCACCGCCTCTGTCCCCGCCCCACACCGCCCTGTCCTGCTGCCTTCCCTCCCACTGGGGCGGCCCCACCACTGACTGTCCCCAGGCCCCAGACCCCCAGGACAGGCCTGCCTTTGTGGGGACGGCCGGCCCACTGGGAGGGCGAGGGGCTCACTCGCAGGAGTTCGCTCTCGGAAATACAACGCATGGTCCTGCTTCCATCCACCCAGCCAGCTGACCCCTGCTCAAGTTCACACAGGCGGGGCCTGGAGGACACCAAGCCACCCGCTGTGACCTGGCAGGCAGCGGCTCTGGGCCACGGTGGGGTCTGAGGCGGTGCCTGAGCTTGGGGGACACCACCACCTGTTACGTAGCTACAGGCCTGTGACCAGCGTAGAGCAACGCAGAGCAGCACAGACCTTGGATCACTCAGCTTCTCCGCCAGGGCACAGTGCCCAACGCCCACAAGGCAAAGGAGGAGCAGAGGTTCCATCTGGCTCATGGTTTAGGGGACGCAGTCCATGGTCAGCTGCTCCAAGGCAGGAGCTTCATGACGGAAGGGCGTGGGGAGCAAAGTTCATTGCTCAGTTCTTGGTGACCGGGAAGATGGTGGCAGAACAGAGGAATAGACCCAAAGAGGAAGAGGAACAGTTATGGACCCTACCTTCACCCAGGAGTGGGCATTACTAGTCTCCTGGACATTTCATAATCCAGACTAATTGATGAATCGTGCTCAACAGTCACAGAAAGGCATAGAACAATACATAGCAGTATGGAACAAGGGGATGGATTAGCAAGTGTAGGCCGAGAGGAGGAGAAGCAGCTAGGGGAGAAGAAAAGATACCATCAAGCCCTAGCAATTCAGACAAAGAATTACCAGGACAGTTCAGATGGATAAAGATGGAGAAAAGAGATACCGGAAGCAAGGAAGGACCGGACTGGTGCGAGTGGGCCTCGGCGAGAAACGCTCTGTTACCCTCAGGGCTGTCACTGCCAACTGGGGCCAGGGCTTGGAGGCCTGGGCGATGGGCTAAGTCACGCTCTGCTTTCTTTCCCTGCTATAAAATCCGAGTCAAAACAGCTTGGCTCTGGACGCGTGCTCCAGCCCTAACGCACATCCTCGTCCCCACCGGGGGCTGCAGAAGTCCCCACGGTGCTCTCCCCGGGCTGCACTTGGCAGGTGCACGGCTCAGCTCTCTTCCCACCCAGGGGACAAAGCTGAGCTCCTGCCAGGTCCTGCCTGAACCATGACTAAATCCTCCACTTCGAGCCCCAAGTGAACTTGGTCTGGCCACACGCTGTAAGCCGCCCATGAGAAGAGATGTCAGTCACTGTGAAAACCACACCGAGGTGTCCACAAGCTGGGCCTGGTGGCGCACGCCTGTCATCCCAGCACTCTGGGAGGCTGAGGCAGGAGGATCAAATATTTGAGCCCAGCTCGGGCAACTGAGTGACTTAGCGGGACCCTGTCTCAAAATAAAAAATAAAAAGGGCTGGGGAGCAGCTCAGTGTGGAGGCCCTGTGTTCAGTCTTCACGACTGAAAAACAAAACTGTTTCCAGGACACACTGGTAGAGAGCCCTGCCCCGGGCACAAGGTCCACCTGGGACGCTGGCCACACCTCTGTCTGTGACTGGCGCACAGCAGTGCACGGGAACAGGGTGGCCCTCAGCCACAGCCGAGCTTCATCAGAGAACACGTTTATGTTCAGGAGGGGGACGGCGCTGACCAGCTGCCTTTTGCCACCTCTGTGCTCCAGATGACAACATCAGAAGTCCTGGAGGCTACGGGGGCCGGGGCGGGGCTGAGGGCCACAGTCAGGAGCCACCGGCCAACACCATGAAGTGAGCAGCTACTGGGTGACAACCATGGAGCTCAGTACTGGGGACGGAGACCTACAAGGCGCCCCTGAAGTGCACATGCTCTACTCGGAAGGCAAGGCCCGAGTCCTCCTTTTTTCTGCAGTACTTGGGGTGGAACCCAGGGCCTCCACACTGAGCTACAACCCCAGGCCTTTTTCTTTTTTATTTTGAGACAGGGTCTCGCTAAGTCACTACTTGCCCAGGCTGGGCTCGAACTTGTGATCCTCCTGCCTCAGCCTCCCAGAGTGCTGGGATGACAGGCGTGGGGGCACCATGCCTGGCTCCATGTCCCTTCTTGCCTTCTCCCGTAGACTCAGCTCCTCTGCCAGGGTCTGCGCCTGGGTGCTGGGCACCAGTGGCGTATGGAGCAGCGGCAATTCCTAGATGGACCTCTAGCATCCCGGGTCCCGGGACTCAGAGCTGGGTTCCGACTGCCCAGGTTGTGGCCAGGAATCATCTATAAGGACCAGCACACATGGAAATACAGGAAGTACAGAGCAATTGCCTACAGGGTGGAAGGGAGGAATGCAGGAGACGGAGGGAGGAGGCTGGGCTGCCTGGTACACGTTTGTCAGCCATCCCCAGGGTCCCCAGTGATACACATTTGCACTGAGGTCCGATGAGCCCAGGACTCGAGAGGGAAGGAAAGAGGAACTGGTGCAAATCTACCTGGCAGGGGGGAGACTTGGCGGGCAGCTGATCACCCGCTCATTCTGGGCTCGGACTAACGCTGCCCAGCAGTTCGGCTGTGCTCTCCTTGCCTTCTGAGTCCTCTCCAGATCAGAGTGGCCCAGGCCGGCCTCCTGCACAGTCCTGGAGCAGAGAGGCTGGCGGCCAGGATGGGGCTCTGGCCCCACACCGAGTCCGGGGTGGACGGCAGTGCCCAAGGTGGGGAGTGCGTGTACACGTGCCTGCGCGTACCAGGTGTGATCGGGACGGAAGGTGGCTGTCCCAACTAAAAAATTAACACTGTAAAAGATGAATTGCCACGAACCCCCTCAAAATCCTCCCCTTGCTTTGAACACACTTGTCCTGCAGCGGCTCTGGAGTCCTCCTTCCCGAGGGGCTTTTGAGGCACTGTTCTTGCTGTCCTGAACAGATTCAAAATGTCTCCCTTTCAGAGCCGGGCGTGGTGGCACACGCCTGCAATCCCAGCACTCAGGAGGCTGAGGCAGGAGGATCACTGTGAGGTCGAGACCAGCATGGGCTACATAGTGAGTTCCAGGTCAGTCTCAACTACATAGTGAGACCCTGTCTAAAAAAAAAGTCTCCCTTTCAGAGGCACTGTGACTTTGGGGAGGAGCTGGGAGTCACACAGCACCAGATCCAATGACTTATGTTGACAAGAACACAGTGCTGTGCTTTTAGGAGCTGCCTTTCTGTTGGGTGGCACCCGGCAGCAGCAACCACCGTACTTTGGATCACACCCCACAGAGTCTCAGGAAAGAGGACTCCAGAGCGGCTGCAGGAAGAGGAGAGGACGATGGGATGAGGGTGTGCAAAGTGAGGATTGTGAGGGGATTCGTGGCAGGTGTCTTTTGAAGTAATAAATGTAAACACTTAGTCTTGCGCCATATTTGGTTCACCCCTTGCATCTGCACGTCCCAGGGTGCTGTGTGCACGGGTATGGAAGGCAGAGGGAGCCACCCACAGGAAGCGATACTCCAAAGTCATCCTGGGTGCCCTAAAAATAGGCCTTGCCTTGGGAAGGGCTCTCCCTCTGGGGCCCGAGGTCCACAGCCAGCTTGGGGTGCATGAGCTCGCCTGGGGCTGGGGCCTGGCCAGTGATGTGGGGCCACAGCGGACACCAGCGAGGGGTGAGCCCAGGTCACACTCTCCGGAGGAGCCCTAGATCTCCAGCCTCTTAGCCCAACACCATCTGGAAGAGCTGAGGCCCTACCAAATCTCCACGAGCCAAAAGGTCTAACCCATCTTCTCATCCCTTCAGCCACACTGGTCATCAGCTGCTGTCCATGCTGCAGGTGCATTTCTGCCGCAGGCCCTTTGCATAGGCCATTCCCCCGATAGACACCCAGTGCTTCCAGGCTTCCTGCACCTCTTTGTGCAGTCACCTCTCTGAGAGACCTTCCATGCACACCCTGGCCACAGCTGAAGGGTAGACACACACCCTCCATCCTGCATGCCGACTTTCCAGACCCCATGGGCCACCCTTGCCACCCCGACCTCTGACCTACTCCAGCTTCTGGTCTCACCCAGCCCTGCTAGGCCCCTGTGCACCTGCAAGCCAGGGGCTGCGAGATGTGCATCCAGGCAGTGCCCAAGGACACAGCCCCAGATGCAGCCCCTCACCAGCTGCAGCAGGGCTGGGACAGGGGAGGAGGAAGCAGCACCTTCTAAGTGCTCTGGGCCCATTTCCTTTTTCCTGCCTCGTTGGGGATGGAACCCTGGGCCTTCTCACTGAGCGACCTCCCAGCCCTTTATTGTGAGACAAAGTCTCTGTAAGTTGCTAACTGGCCCAGGCTGGCTCAAACCTGCCAACCCCCTGCCTCAGCCTCCTCCGACTTCACTACACCCAGCATCTTTTCTTTGAAGGGAAACGTAGAGTCCCTCCTGCTAATCTGACCCAAACCGAGGTCCCTCCCTGGGCGTCAACTTCCACAGGGAGAGGAGACACCCACTTGGGGCCGGAAAAGTCACCCCACCCGCAGGAAAGCAAGGGACAGCTTGACAGGGTGCACCCTGTCCCCGGACAGCCGGCTGTGGTCGCAGGGGCGCCGAGCGGCAAAAGCAGCTGCACCCGGTGCCAGGAGTCCGGCACCTGCCCCCGCCTGTGTGCCCCTCCACCCGACACCGCTGAGGCTAAGATGGTGATGGGGTAACAGGTCCCAGGCAGAGGCTCCAAGAATCACGACCCACTCAGAAAGACCCAGAACCGACCCATCAGGCCCAGCTCCGAGCCTCAGTTTCCCCACCTGTGTCCCGGGCCTGCTGGGCAGCCTGTTGCTCTTTCTGCAGAGCAGAGCCAAGGACCCGCCCACTCTTCCCCCAAGCCGGCCCGTTGCGCACCTACCTGGGGCTGAGAAGAGGGCGACACGCAGCGGTGGTGGTCGGAGGCTTCCGGCGGCGCGGGCGCGGGAGCGGCTTAGACCATGCCCCTGCAAGACAGGAAGGGTCGCATGGGCTGCTCAGCCAGCAGGACTCCGCATATAACCAGGGGTTGACAAATGAGGTCCCCAAACTAAACTAACAGCTAAACTCAACACCAGAAGAGCCACGCGTCATCCCGCCAGAAAGTCTCACGGTAGGGCTGATGTGCTTTTCCAAGGCGGCTTTTCACACGCGTACACATGTAAACATAACATATATCTCTCATACGTGGGATCTGGGTTCTTTTTCTAGTACTGAACCCAGGGCCTTCACACTGAGCTGTCTGTATGTATCCCCAGTCCCTGTTTATTTTGAATTTTGAGACAAGGCCGGGGATATGGCTCAGGGGCGTTGCCGCCTGCCTAGCAAGTGCAAGGTCCTGAGTTTGATCTCCAGTACCAAGTATCAATTAAATTTTGAGACAGGGTCACCCAAAGTGGCTAAGGAGCCCAGGTTAGGCCGAACTTGTGATCTTCCTGCCTCAGCTTCCTACATTGTGAGTGCTGCTTTGACACCTGGGGAAAGCAAGGTCCAAGGCAGCGTCAGGACCCTCTGCAAAGCCACCAAGAAAACAGTGAGGGAGCCAGAGATGGATGAGCCACCCCAGGGCGCTGTGACGCTGTGAAGGGGGACACGGACCGGACGCGCTGGGGCTGCTCTTGGTAATGAAGGGGCCCACACCAGCCGCCTCTGGGGACGCCGCCTGACCATGCATGATGCCCACCCGCAAAGGACTGTCGTCCGGGCCACCTCTCTCACGCCAGCTCGCGGGAGGCACGGGTGGAGCCTGCCCCGTGACCTCTGCCCGTTTTCCACGCCTGAGCAGGGGCAGGGCCCTGGTCTCTGAGCCCATCAACAAGCAGACGGAATGACAGTTCTGGGGGAGCCTGGACCCAAGGAGCGGGAGTCATTACGTGGAGATGATTAGGCTGAGCTGTGCTGCTCGCTCCTGATTTCTGTCTGGAGAGTGTTTTACAAGCCCTCACCGGGGCACACAGAGACCTGTGCCCTCCAACCCCACTTCCTGAGGTGTGATTCGGGCCTGTGACTTCATTTCTTGCGCTTCCTGTTCCACACTTGTGCAATGGAGATAATACCACTAGTCCATCAAACTTCTGTAAAGATTAAATGACCTGAAGCGCACCGAAAAATGCTTGATGCACAGCAGGGACTCAGTAAGTCACAACAGCTGAGCATGGTAGCATACACCCGTCAACCCAACACTCGGGAGGCTGAGGCAGGAGGGCTGCTGCAAGTCCAGTGCCAGCCTGAGCTACATAGGAAGGCCCTGTCTCAAAAACCTGAAAAACAAACAAAACAGGAGAACTTTCAAGGGGCCAACAGGCACTGTCCAAGACAGTCACCACACTAAGTTATTAAGAAAATGCTGATCAAAAGCACAGTGAAATATCACTCCGAACTCACATATATTTCTCAAATTTAAAAGTTAGATCATTGCATGTGGGGGCAAAGATTTGGGAAAACCAGAAGCCTCCTGCACTTCCTGGTGGGAATGTGGATGGTGTAACCATTTGATTCTCACAGAGCCTGAGCCTGCATGTTTTTGCCCACAGCTTAATTATTTGTGTGCTCTCGGCCCATATGTTAACCATTTGCTCCTGGCCAGGCCCCCACAGACCCCCTTCTTCACTGCGGTCTCTGGTCATCAATCTCACTTTTTCAGCCTTCCCATCAGACTCCCACTAGAGAGCTCCGGGGAGCTTCCAGGCCTCGACCTCAAGCGGGGGCTGAGTCCCTGGTCCCTCCGAGTTCCCCAGTTTCCGGCTTCGCGGGCGGAGCAGCTCCAGGATCCTCCAGGGCAAGATGGGCGGGGGACTCCGCCTCTGATCCTGGAGCCACCCAGCAAATCCCCACTCATAATTATGCACATGCTGTTGATTCTGTTCCTTTAGAGAAGCCTCCCAGGGCGTGAAGTCAGACATGGACGGTTCGGGCTTATGACTAATTCTGAGGTGACTGTGGTTTAAAAATGACTAATTATACCACAGTCGCCAGGTAACGAGCGCAGCTGTACCCAGAATACCGTCTTTGGTTGCACTGTCCTGGCCGCCTCTACATTCTGAATGGATTCAAAACGCCTCCCTTTATGGTTATCGTGACTTGGGGAAGAGCCAGGAGTCGGACAGTGCCAGACCCAGTGACTCGGGTGGACGAGGACACAGCGCCGTGTCTCATGAGCCGCCTTTCCCTTGGTGGCGCTCGGCAGCAGTCACGGCGTTTGAGGTCACAGCTGGTAAAGACCCTCAGGAAAGAGGAGCCCAGAGCGGCCGTAGGAAGGGGCGAGGAAGAGCCCGGGATTTAGCTCAGTGGTGCTGCTGCCCGCCTCCCAAGTATAAAGTCCCGAGTTCAATCCCTGTACCACAAAGAAAACAAAACCAAAACAAAGTGGCAAGGACAGTGGGATGAGTGTGTTCAAAGCAAGGAACTATTTTGGGGAAATCTGTGGTGATGCGTCTTTTTTTTTTTTTTTTTTTTT